TTGGTCATGGTGTACAAGAGGTTTAATGTGCTTATGAATTCGTCATGCTACTGTTCATTGAGATATTTTGCATGTATGTTCAAGAAGAATATTGGTCTCTTGTATTTTTTTTTATTTATTCTTTGGCTGATGCCCTCTGTACCACTGTGCATTTCATTGAGTTACTTTTCCCAGCATGAAATTGATGGGTTTTATTTGATAATTTCTGTCTCTTTTTGAATTTGCTGTTTGGTCCATGCAATGTTTTCCTGACTTTATTGAAATGTCTTTCTGTTTGTGTCTTGTAGTCGTGGAGCGTCTTTTGAATTACATGCTGGGTAAATGGCAGTTCTCCCTGACTTTGGGTTAAGTTATTGGGATTTTATTATGGTCTTTGGTGATGGCTGACATTGTGATTCTTCCTGATCTGTGGAGTGCTGTGTTCTCTTTTTGTATTTGATGCCACAGTCACCTCCTGCAAGCCCAACCCCTGCCCTCAAGTGAGAGACCCTTTCTGTTGGTCCTGAGTGTGTCTGGGGCTTGTGGGACCTTGTGTGGATGGGCCAGCTTCGTGCTTGTGGCTCCCTCTTGTGGCAGGATTCTCAGGTTGTAGGTCTGGTCCTCATCTTTCAGTGTATCTGGCCAGTTGGTAAACTCTTGTCTATATTTTTCTTTAATGTTATTTTAAATAATAGGCCATGACTTTTACAGACAGGGGCACCTAGTCCCCATGCCATCTCCAAGGTCCAGCTGACCCCATTGCAGTCTCAGACCTCCTCCTTGCTTTTTGATGAGATCAGAGGCATGTTAGGTCCTCAGGGGTCTCTGGAACTGAGCCTCCAAAACAAGCGTGTTGCTACTGCTCTGGGCAGGGCGAGCATGGGGCGGGGCTGCAAGGGACCCAGGGGCCAGCAGGGTCTGGGCTGTGTGCAGGGCTCTGGCCAAGCTGTTGTGGGATGGGTGCGAGCCCCTGAGCAGTTAAGGCAGAAGCGGGTTGGGGGCGCATCAACTTGGACAGGTTGTCGCTGCTGGTGAAGGGCTTGGAGCAGAGAAGGCAGGGGAGGGGCTTCTGTCCCCTGTGCACTCTGCAGGGACAGACTCCTGCCACTGTGCGGGAACTTCTTGTGGCAGCTGTGCGTGTGGCAGGCGCGGGTGATGTGAGGTGCTTGGACTTGAAGGAGCTTTAGTGCAGCCTGGGAAGGGAGTGCAGTGGCTCTTGGTGGTGGCAGCTCAGGCACAGGATCAGGCCTAGGAGCAGGAGGACAGGGACCAGAGGGAGGGGGACGGGAAGGGTGGTGCAGCGCCTCCTAGGGACTCGGGTCCACAATGCTGGTTCGTGGGGATCCTGGCTCCTAGAGCAAGTGTCCTGGCAGTAACTTTGGGCCCAGGAGAGACACTCTCCTCATACCCACCCTCGGGTGGGGCCCCTGCTCTGTGCCTGGCTGGTCCAGTGCACTTTATGCCCAGGGAGCTGGACCTGAGCTCCTTGGGTGAAGTAATCCTTAGGGTAACCACTCCCATTGACCTAAAATGTGCGCCCGTGGGACTCAGTGAGTTGATGGAACTGGGGAAACACCAGGGATGTGCAACACAGTGGGGAGCACTCTCCTGGCCGTCAAGAAGACAGAAGGGGAAGGGACTAGAGAAGAAAGTGTATGAATGACCCAGGAGCACGGACCACAGGGTGGGAATTGAGTGTTGGAGCCCAGTGGGGCCTGTGTGAAATGGGTGGAGGTGAGTATAGGGGGAAATCGGGAGAACCGTAGTGCAATAATAACTTTAAAATATTTTAAAAATAAATAACAGCGAAAAATAAAAAGGAAGGAAGAAAGGAGTATTTACAACCAGGAATTAGGGAAATGCCACAATCAGGCCTAATAAAAACAATGGCGTTTTCTGGGAGCTGGTTTACAAACACCCCTGACCACCACTCCACACACCTCTGGAGTTGCTGTAGCAAACACACCAGGTCCATCATCTGATAAACAGAGCAACCTTCACCTGACCGGGCAGTGTTTTCATGATGGTTTTGTATTTCTTCCTCCCAAACTAGTCTTTCACAATGAAATTTATTGCAGTTTTATGAAGTCATACAATTACACAGGTGTCAGCGCTGACTGGTGTGGGTCAGTGGGTTGAATATTGGCCTGTGAACCAAAGGGTCCCCTGTTCTATTCTTGGTCAGGGCACACGGCTGGGTTTCAGGCCAGGTACCAGGCACGGGGTGAGTCAGAGGCAAGAAATCTGTGTTCATGTGGCACATTCATGTCTTTGTCCCTCCCTTCACCTCTCTAGGAAATAACTAATAAAATCTTTAAAATATTACAGAGGTTTCAATCACACAGTTCTATGAGACATCATCAGTATATGGCACTGAGTTCTTCCAAAATCAAATCTCTCCTCACCATAGATCTCACTCTCTTTACCCTCCTCTGTCTCACTCTGACCCTTCCCTCTGGTGACCACCAGTGTCACCAGTTCAAACAATTCCTGGTTTTTATTCTTTTAACCAGTTGTTTAAAACAGATTTATTGTCCGACCCGGAGACATACAGAATCAGCAAATGTGGACAATAAAAGAAAGAAAAATGTCCTGCATGAAAGTGGACTAGAGATGGAGGGTGAACCCAGGGGTGGATCTGAACCTGTGATGTGGGCTGAGCCCCAGGTCAGGGGGGTGAGAACAGAGGCCCAGTCAAGGAAGGTCAGCAGTGCAGTGAGGGGAGACGCCCACAGTCTAACTGTGGGGAAGCCTCTGCAGCCCCAGCCCCTCCTCTCCCTGCAGGGGAACCACGCCCACACCCTCCACATTCTCAACAGACTCTTCCAGGGGCGCCCACAGTTTCCTCCAGAGCTTCCTGGGGTCATCAGACTCTTCTCCAGTCTCTGCCTTGCTGACTGGTGGTTTGTTGTCCCCTGTGTTCAACTCCTGGCTGCATCGTGGGGTCTTCTCCAACTGTGCCAAGCTTCACACAACAGCACCCCGAGGACCACGAGGATGAAGCCAGACACACCCAAGCGGATGAGGTTCCCCACTGTGTAGTCTTGGGGGTGATGAGGAAGGAATTGTGAGTAAAGAGATCCCAGAAGTCAGGACAGGCTCCGATCACCCCAGTCCCCCTGCATGTCCACCAGGGCACCTGCATCTCATGGACCAGTTTTGATGCTCTGAGCACAGCCTCATAATTGAGAATTTCTCCTCCTCTCTACTCTTGGAATCTGACTTGTTTCCCATCATCCCAGAGGATCAGCAGCTCCAGAGGAAAAGAAAACCAACAGGATATGAGAGGAGAAAAGTAGAATGGCTTCAGTCATCTCTTCTCTCAGCTTCAATGTGTCTCTCAAACTAATGGTTCCCAACCCAACTCCCCCAGGGGAGCATTTCTGGGGCCTGGACTTGGATTGCTTTGCAAAGTCAAGATGCACACAGGGGACTTCAATTTGTCCAGAATGTCAGGACATGAAGGAGTGACAGCTGGATCTACCTTTTCACTACTTCACCTCAGCTGTCTCCTTGTGTCTCTGACTTGGGAACATAATTTCCACATCACAATTCCTTCCTCTTTCTCAATTATTCTTTTTAAAGAGATAGATGATGAAATATGTACAACATAGATATTTTTGGTATTGAGATTTACCAAAATTAACAGAATCTCTAAGTGTTCATTGAGCTTGTAATCTACCAGGAAGATTGGTAAGAAAGGGGCAAAAAATAAAATAGAAAATCTTTAGATGCATAGCTGCATGAAAATACAGATCTCTGTAGATCACAGACAGACCCTGATGATGTGACAAATGAAGTCACAGGGAATACAGGGAACTCTGGGAGGGAAAGTGGGCACTGACAGGAGTTCAGGTGGGAGGTGTTTTGGAGGATGACCTGCCCCAGCTGACCACCCGGTGTCATGGAAACAGAGCAGAGACCCTGCTGTCCTCCCACACCCAGGTAATGACAGTGGTCCCCATGGAGACAGGACCAGCTCAGAGTGGGGTTCATGTTCTTTCTCCCACAGGGATTCTCTGGCATCAAAGTTGTAAACTAACTGAGCTTTATCAGATCCTGGAATGGATTGTGCTCTGATAGATGGGAGAAGGGAGTCCCAGATACAGGTAGGATTTTGTCAGTGGGATGCACATCAAGGGGGCTGAGCCAGCTCCATATCGGTTCAGACTGTCAGAGGATCTCTGACTCCTATCCCTGGTTATGACTCACCCTGACCCACAATGGGAGCCTCCTTGACAGTGTCTCCCATGTGGGCGTGATTTTACGAGAACCAGAACAGCCCAGGGGCCCTGAATCAGCAACACAGACAGAGGCAGTTGTGGCTCCTTCTGTTTTCACCCCACCTGGGCTGGGCGTCTTCCCCTTCACGTATTTCCTCCCCACTGATCACATGGGACCCAATGACCATCCTGCTCCTTGAGACAAGAGGTTCCTTCTTTACATCTCCAACTTTATCCCCAGGACGTTAGGAAACAAGGCCTTCTGGAACTATTTGAAGTATTGAAATGTATAATGGTTGAGTGTGTGTCTTCTCTGGGCCAAGGGGACTCTGCTACCCAAAAGACATGAAGTTTGTCCGTGTGGAGGAGGGACTGCAGACCCCAGCTGCTGCATGACACAGGAACAGGGGAGGCTGTGGGTGTGCCTGCCTCCTCATGTCTCCTATAGTCCAGTAGATGTCCCCCAAATGTTACCCCTTCCCACACTTCAGTGTCTTAACTGAACACACCAGCCCTGGATAGAACCTCGTGTGGGGTGAGGCATGGAGAGGGTGGGGACTCCCCATCTTCTCCATCATTTATGGGGTGTGATTCCTTCTATTGCTGACCTCACTGTTTCACCCTCCTTCCCATCCCAGCCCAGAGCTGTCCTGGGACAGAATCTGCTCCCTCAGTGGACATAGGGTGACAGTACCTCACCTGAGACCAGGAGCTCCAGGGGGTCGCTGGGCTGTGACAGCTGAAAGGGGGAGGAGCTGAGTGAGCTGTAGCACCTGTAGGTCCCTCTGTGGCCCCAGGTCACAAGGGTGATGGTGAAGTTGGCCTGAGAGGGGGCAGCAGTGTCCTGGAGATGAAGAGGCTGGGGAGGATCCGGGGACCTCTCCCTGTGCAGGTGGAAGGTGTCAGCCCTGACCTCAGATCGACACTGCAGGGTCACGTTCGCTCCCCAGGGCACCAAGGGCCCCGGCTGGACTGAGAGGGAGGGTTTCCTGTACATTCCTGGGGAGAGGAGGGCTGTGATGTGCAGAGTTGCCCTCCCTACATACCCTTGACCCTGAGCTGAGGGACCATGTCTTTTCCCAAGGACACTGTCTGTGACCCCTGTCCACTCCTCTCATTCCCTCTGAGTGGGCATCTTATATCTTCATGCCCCTCACTCTCTCTCTCCTAGACCTCAGCCCCATCAGCCTCTGATCCAGGACCCTTGCCTAGAGCCCATCATCACCATGGAGACCCCAGGACACAGCCCTGAGCAGACAGTCAGGACAGGGGGCAGGGCTGTGGTTCTCACCTGTGATCAGGATGTCCAGGGGTGCGCTGGGGGCTGACCACACATAGGAGAGGTTGTGTCCACTGTAGCACCTGTACCGACCCCCATGGGTGAGGTTCACAGGGCCAAGGGGGAAATCGGGGCTGTGCTGTCCATGGAGATGCTGGGGGGGTGTGGGCCCCTCATCCTTGGTCAGAGCAAATCTGTCAAAGCCGGGCTCTGAGTGACACTGGAGGGTCAGGCTGTCTCCAGGCAGAAGCAGGGGGCCAGGCTGGGCTGAGAGGAAGGGCTCCCTGTACACACCTGGGGAGCATGTCATTGTCACCCAGAGGACACACACACCCACCACCCACTGGGGCTGCAGGGAGAGCTCTCAGTTGTCCATCCCTAAGTCTCTTGCCTGTGGTTCTGTCCTTAAAAAACCCGAGTCACCGACCCCCACATCCCCTAGGGCTTTACTAGGTGGAAGGTTTAGATCAGTTATTTGGGGCCCAGGAAAGAATTGCAGCCAAGTGTGGGCCACCTCACCTGTGACCTCGAGGTGCAGAGGGGCACTGGGCTGTGACCACACATTGGGGGTGGAGCTGGAGGAGCCATAGCATCTGTAGGTCCCTCCATGAGAGGGGCTCACGGGACCCACAGGGAAGACGGCCTGCCACCTTCTCTCATAGGGTCTGTGTTCTGATTTCTTGTGTTGAAGCAGCTCAGCCCCTCCCTCTTTCAGCAGGTGGAAAGTGTCCCATGTGGACTCTGAGCTGCACAAGAGGAACACATTCCCTCCTGAGTTCACCACAGGGCCTAGCTGGGCTGAGAGAGAGGGTCCACTGTGTTCTCCTGAGGGAGAAGGAGGATCTGAGTTAAAGGGAACTGTCACCCCAATTTCCCCAGGAGTAGACTATGAGGGGTTAGGGCGCCCTATAAACACTCTGTTCCCTTCATCCACTGAGGAGCCCATGGTGTGGAGGAGACCAGATTCCCCCTTACCTGTCAGCACCAGGAGCAGGGGCTCACTCCTCTCAGACACTGTGCCCCCAGTGCTGTATGCACACTGGTACAGCCCTGTTTGCTGTGAGCCCATGGACTGAATGAGGAACTCGGTCTTGTTGCTGGAGGCCTGTGGGATGCTTGTGTCCAAGGGCTCTGGACTCCTCTCTTTATACAGAACATAGCCATCTGCCTGCAGAGACCCCTGACACCAGATGGTCACAGGGCTCCCCTTGCTGACGATGGGGCCTGGGTCAGCCCAGATGGAGGGTTTGGGGTGAACTCCTAGAAAGGAATCAGATCTGTAGGGTCAGGGGAGCCTTATTTCCTGTTTCCCCAGTTGTCACTCTAAGATCTCTGCTACACTAGTTACCATCAGCCCAAACCCACTGTGTGTCTCTTCCAGCTACCCAGGGTCATCATTGTGCTGAAGGAGGAGGTCTGGAGGAAGACTCACCTGTTTGGACCTGGTCCCACGGACCCCAATGTAGCCCTGGAAGAAAGTTCCTGTGAGGTTAACCTTCAACTGATAGGACATGAGAGAAAAGGTGTAGGATGGCTTAGGTTGTCTCCTTTCTAATCTTCAATGGGTCTGTCAAACTAACAGTAACAAACTCAATTCCTTGAGGTGACACCTCTGGGGTATGGACTTGCATTGCTCTGGGAAGCCAAGATGCCCACAGGATACTTTAATTTGTCCTGAATGTCAGGACATGAAGGAGTGATGGCTGGAGGTATGTTTTCACTGCTTTACCTCAGCTGCCTCCTTGTGTCTCTGTCTCGGGAACATAATTTCCATGTCACATTCGTTTCTACTTCTTATCAGTCTTTTTTTCAAAAACATAAATAATAGACTGTGTACAGCACAGGTGGTTTGGTTTTGAGAATTGCCAAGTTTAACATAACCTCTAAATGTTCATTCAGCTTGTAATGAAATAGGAATATTGGTAAGAAAGTAGCAAAAAGATAAATGAAAAAGTAAAGTCTTTACATGCACACCTTCATGAAAACACAGATCTCTGTAGATCACAGACAGACCTTGATGATGTGACAAATGAAGTCACAGGCAGTGCAGGGAACTGTGAAAGGGGGAGAGGGCACTGACAGGAGTTCTGGTGGAAGTGTTCTGGAGGATGACCTGACACAGATGACCAGCGGGTGTCATGGAAAAAGAGCAGAAATCCTGCTGTCTTCCCCCAACCATATATTTACAGTGGTCCCTGGTGGACACAGGACAAGTTCAATGGGGGCTCATGTTCTTTCTCCCACAGGGATTCTCTGGCATCAAAGTTCTAAAGTGACTGAGCATTTTCAAATCCTGGACTGGATTCTGCTCTGACAGATGGGAAAAGCGTGTCCTAGACACAGGTAGGATGTTGTCTCTGAAATTCAGTTGAAGGGGCTGTGTCAACTCCACATCGATTTAGACTGTCAAAGGACCCCCTTCAGTCTAATCCATAAAGGAGAGGCCTCCCTGATTCTCTCTCCTATGTAGAATTTATTTCTCAGGGACCAGAACAGCTCAGGGACCTTGAATCAGCAACATAGACAAAGGCAGGAGTGGCTCCTGCTGTTTTCTCCCTACCTGAGCTGGGCAACTTCCCCTTCATGTACTTCCTCCCTGCTGACCACGTGGGTCCCAGTGACCACCCTGCTACTTCAGACAAGAAGCCCCTTCCTTATGTCTCCATCTTTATCCCCAGAACTTTAGGAAACAAGGCCTTCTGGAACTATTTGATGTGTTGAAGTATAAAGTGAGAAATAGCAGAAGCCTGGTGGAGTCTGTGTCTCCTCTGGGCTAAGGGGATTCTGCTACCCAACAGGCATGAAGTTTGTCCGTGTGGAGGAGGGTCTGCAGACCCCAGCTGATGACACAGGAACAGGGGAGGCTGTGGGTGTGCCTGCCTCCTCATGTCTCCTATAGTCCAGTAGATGTCCCCAAAATGTTGTCTCCTCACCTACTTCAGTCTCCTCCTTGCACAAGCCAGGACTGAATAGACCCTCAGGTAGGGTGAGGTATGGAGAGGGTGGGGACTCCCCACTTTCACCATTTCTTTCTGGGGTGGAATTCTCCCTATTGCTGACCTCACTGTTTCCCCCTCCTTCCTCTCCCAGCTCAGAGCTGTCCTGGGACAGAGTCTGCTCCATCAGTGGACGTGGGGTGGGGGTCCCTCACCTGAGACCAGGAGCTCCAGGGGGTCACTGGGCTGTGACAGCTGGAAGGGGGAGGAGCTGCGTGAGCTGTAGCACCTGTAGGTCCCGTGGTGGCCCCAGGTCACAGGGCTGATGGTGAATTTGGCCTGTGAGGGGGCTAGTGTGTCCCACAGACGAAGCTGCTGGGGAGGGTCCAGGGATCCCTCCCTGTGCAGGAGGAAGGTGTCAGCCCTGACTTCAGAGTAGCACTGCAGGGTCACATTTGCTCCCAATGGCACTGAGGGCCCTGGCTGGGCTAAGAGGAAGGGTTTCCTGTACGTTCCTGTGAAGAGGAGGACTGTGATGTGCAGGAAGTCACATCTCCCCAGATATCCTTGACCCTGATGGACCAAGTCCTTCCTCAGAGACACTCTATGACCCCTCTGAACTCCTCTCAGCCCCTGTGAGTGGGTGTCTTTGATCTTCATACTTCTCATTTGCCTTTTCTCACTCCTTCCCCTAGACCCCAGCCCTTTTCAGCCACTGCTCCAGGACCCTGACCTGGACCCCATCACCACCACTGTGACCCCGGGCCTGGCCCTGAGCAGACAGTCAGGACAGGGGGCAGGGCAGAGCCCCTCACCTGCAATCAAAATGTCCAGGGGGGCACTAGGGGCCGACCACAGATAAGAGAGGTTGTGTCCACTGTAGCATCTGTATCGGCCCCCATGGGTGAGGTTCACAGGGCCCAGAGGGAAGTCGGGGCTGTGCTGCTCATGGAGACTCTGAGGGTGTGTGGGCCCTTCATCCTTGGTCAGAGCGAATCTGTCAAAACCAGGCTCCGAGTGACACTGGAGAGTCAGCCTGACTCCAGGCAGCACCAGGGGCCCTGGCTGGGCCAAGATAGATGGTTGTTTGTACACACCTGGGGAGAAGGTCATTGTCACTCAGGGGATACACACACCACCCCTGGGTTACAGGGAGAGCTCTCACTTGTTCCTCCCTAAGATTCCTTTCTGTAGTTCTATCCCCAGTAAAACCCTGTCAGTGACCCCCACAACCTCCACAGCTTTACTAGGCACAAGGTTTAAATCAGTTATTTGGGGCACAAAAAGTACTAACACCAAGTTTGGGCCACCTCACCTGTGACCTCGAGGTGCAGAGGGACACTGGGCTGTGACCACACATTGGGGTTGGAGCTGTTGGAACCATAGCATCTGTAGGTCCCCCCATGGGAGGAGCTCAGGGGGCCCACAGGAAAGACAGCCTTCCACCTGCTAGCAGAGTACTTTCGTTCCAATTTGCTATGTTTGAGCTGCTCAGCACCTCCCTCCTTCAGTAGGTGGAAAGTGTCCCATTTGGACTGTGAGCTGCAATGGAGGGATACCTTCCCTCCTGAGGTCACCACAGGGCCTGGGTGGGCTGAGAGAGAGGGTGCGCTGTGCTCTCCTGAGGGAGAAGGAAGATCTGAGTTAAAGGGGACTGTCACTGTACATTTTCCAGAAGTGGGCTGTGAGGAATGTGGCCCCCCTAAAACCTCACTCTGTTCATCTTCTGAGGAGGACCCCACAGTGGGGAGGAGACCCAGGTTTCCCTTTACCTGTCAGCACCAGGAGCAAGGGCTCACTCCTCTGAGACAGTCTGTCCCCAGTGCTGTATGCACACTGGTACCGCCCTGCATTCTGTGAGCTCATGGACTGAATGAGGAATTCAGTCTTGTTGCTGGAGGCCTGTGGGGCCTCATATCCGAGAGTGGAGAGCCCCTTTCTTTATACAGACTGTAGGCATCTGCCAGCAGAGACCCCTGACACCAGATGGTCACAGGGCTCCCCTTGCTGATGATGGGGCCTGGGTCAGCCCAGATGGAGGGTTTGGGGAGAACTGCTAGAAAGGAATCAGATCTGCAGTGTCAGGAGGGTCCTTGTCCCCTCACTTTCCATAGCTGTCACTCTCAGGCCCATCCCACACTGGTCACCATCAGCCCAGACCCACTGTGTCCCCCATTTGCCCAGGGGCATTTTTGCACTAAAGGAGGAGCTCTGGGGGAGGACTCACCTGCCTGGACCTGTTGCCATGGTGCCTGACACAGCCCTGGAAGAGAGTTCCTGTGAGATTATCCTTCACCCACACACAGGCCTGGTCTGGGCCCCTGAGTGCTGGGATCAGACCTGGGGCTGAGCCCCTTTTTTATCACCTTGAAGTCCTGTCCCCATTTAGCTCCTGAGCCCTGGACATGGCAGGGTTGGGACCCTTTCTTCTCTTTCCCCAAAACTCACCAAGCCAGAGAAGAGTAGTGAGTGTCAATGTCATGATGTGTCGCACAGGGTCCTCAGTGGGGCCAGTGATGTAGGAAGTCCACAGGTTCCAGCCAGACAGGCAAACACAGGCTGTGACAAGATCCCAGCTCTGTGCAACAGCTCACAGTTTCTTCTGCAGCTGCAGTCTGTGCTGCCTGGAGGAAGGTCAAAGAGACACCAGGATCTGGGACCTTTCAAACCAGATCTGATTCTCAGCAGACCTCACACGTCCTGCCCCCACCTCATGGGACACACAAATCCAGATGGTGACCTCTGTCCTGGAAAATTAGGGTAAAGAATGTCAGGCAGGATTCAGAGCAGGGCAGTTTCTGTTCCAGTTCTCACTCTGCCTTTTCTAGACCATTGTTTCCTTGGGTAAGTTACTTCCCTCTCCTGAGACCCTGTAAGTGCCCTTTTCCTTCCTCTTTCCCACTGGCCAGGCCCTCAGGCAGTATGTACTGAGCAGTCACCCGGTGCAGTCACCATGCCAGGACCTGGAGAGTCACTGCTGAAGCTGCAGGACTCTGTCTCTGGACTCACAGGGCTCAGAGGAATGAAGACAGACAGGCAGATATGTGGGCGACAGACAGATCAGTTATACTCTCATGAGACTGTCCATGTTGGGAGAAAGAACAAGGCAGTGAGGTTCAGTAACAGGGGGACATCATGCAACAAGGTGTTTTTCTCAGAGATGGGATGATCCAAGGCATGAGCAGGGATCAGTCCAGAGGCCATGGGCAGGGAAAGGTCCTTGAACAGAATGAGCTGGGCCATTTCTCAGGAGTGGCTGCAGTCAGGTGAAGGCTGTGTTCTAGGCACACAAGATCTAGAGCACCATGCAAATTGTCTGGAGTGCATTTGAAGTCAGTGGAATAGACAGGTTTATGTTTTTAAAAGGCTACCCCTACTTGAAAACGTCATGCCAGCAGGCTCTGCTGATAATGAGCTCCATCAGTCATAAAACTCCAACATGCACCTGGCCCATGGATGGTGTGTCCATCAGTGTGTTAAGTGATTCACACAAACCTGTAATGCTAACTGCACTGACAGTTGACTGGGATGAGACAGGACATCTCTTGGTTCTGCCTCAATCTTGGGAAGGAGGTGACTCAGTTCAGAGTCGGGGAGGAAGCATCAGGAGAGAGCACAGGATTTTGAAATAGCTCAGTTTCTGTGTGTGGTTTGGGGTGAGGGGAGTGTGGTTAACTGGTGGTTTTGGTTTTGGAGGGTGAGTGGTGTTTGCTGGGGCTGGTGAGTTTAGCTCCCCCCTGAACACTGACAGCCTTGAATGCCAGATGGTGCAACATGGATCTGTTCAGAGGGTGGGAACTGGTGGAGGGGGCAGAGCAGGCAGGCTCAGACCAGGTCCCTTGTAGGAACAGTTCTCAGGAGGTGGAGAGAGGAGTGACCTGGAGAAAGGCATGAAGCCTGCATTGGAGGTGCAGGAAGGAGGGTGATGTGATGACCAGGCATCTTGAGTGTTGTGATGGATCAGAAACATGATGCAGAGGGCTCAGTGGGGCATCATGGAGTGGAGTGGATGACAGTCCGGGAAGTGCAAGAGTGAGAAAGCAAGGCTGTTCTACCTTCTTCTTGGTGCCTGGAGGGGTCAGTGGGTCTGTCACCAGTAGGACCACGCTTGAGGAGAGTGTGGCATGAGGAGGTGCTGTGGAGACTGGTCACTGTTTGTCAGAAAAAGTATGACCCTACTGGGACCGGGGATTTCCTTTCCCCAAACAGTCCCCCTCACTGACTTCCTGTTTCTATCAGTCAACACCAGCCTTTCCTTCATTGCCCCCTTCAAAATGCTGGGTCAGTTCTGCCTCCACAGGGCCCCTCCTCCTCTGACCAAAGCTCTTCCTCTCACACTGGGAACTCCCTCTGTAGCATCAGGTAGAGCCCCTGTGGAGGGAAGTCAGGTTTCTAATGAAAACAGACAGAATAAGGGATCTGTGAAGCACTTTATATCCCTTAACTGGGAGCGAAATGAGAGCATTATCAATGAAGAAACAAAATGTTGGAAGAAATAGTTAGCTGATCATGTCATAAATTTATTGAAAGCCATGAGTTCAACTGCCCAAGAAACTCAGCTATGAATCTTTGAAAACCAAGCCCAGACACATCATGAGCATCATCAGACTACTCAAGGAAAATTGAATCCACCCAGACAGAAATAGCACATCACACAATGAGAAACCATGATTGGATTAACAGCAGATTTCCCATTAGAAACCATCAGGGTCAGAACGGTTTAAAGTCCTGAGAGGCGGGAAAAGTTCGGTGGAATTCTTCTGGAAATTTTCTTCAGAATAGAAGTGAAATAAAGGAAACCTGAGGATCTGACCTGTTTAGAAGAGAAAAGTTCTTCAAGCAGATGGGACATAATTCTAAAGGGATCCTTTAAATTCAACAATTAAAGAAGAACCAACATGTCTAAGTAAAAATTTATGTAAATGTAATAGCATATTTTATCCTTTTAACTTAAAATATATATATGGCTGTTGAAAGCAGAAATGGGCACATTACCTGGTATGGTGTGTGAGGTGTGTGGATGGACCACAGATTCCAAGGGCAGCACAAGGCAGTGGGTGTAAAGGGACCTGCACAGTTGTGAGGCTTCTGCATTGACCTTGCAGTGGTTAAGTATTACCTCCTCTGTGTAGAATCTGTGAAATGCGGTTGTATATTATGATACTTACAACTGTCACTGAAAAAGCAACGTACAAACACTCATAGTTAGGATTCCAGTGGATAGATTAGAATGGATACTAAAAAACCATCCCAAACACAGGGAGCAGTACAAGGAAACCTGAAGAGCAAAGAGCAGATGTGACCTGCACACACGAACAGTAAAGTGGGAAACCTAACACCACCTACATTACAGTAGATATAAGTGGTGAAAGCACAAGGAAATGGCAGATTTTAGGAGTGCATTAGAATACTAAATTTCTTCACTCTAGCATATATTAGTTAATGCATGGCTTTATTTCTTTTTAAAATATATATTTTAATTATACTATTACAGTTGTCCCGTTTTTCTCCCTTCATTCTCCTCCACCCTGCACACCTCCTCCCACCAGCATTCCCATCCTTTAGTTCATGTCCATGGTTCATACCCATCAGTTCCTTGGGTTCTACATTTCCCATACTATTCTTAACCTTCTCCTGTCTATTTTATACCTACCATCTATGCTACTTATTCTCTGTACCTTTCCCCCCTCTCTCCCCCTCCCACTCCCCTGCTGATAATCCTCCACGTGATCTTCATCTCTGTGATTTTGTTCCTGTTCTAGTTTTTTGCCTAGGTTTTTTTTTTTTTTTTAGATTTGGTTGTTAATAGCTGTGAGTTTCTTGTCATTTTACTATTCATAGTTTTGATCTTCTTAGTCCCTGTAACATTTCATATAATAAGGGTTGGGTGATGATGAACTCCTTTAACTTGACCTTATGTGGGAAGCAGTTTATTACCATTCCATTCTAAATGCAAGCTTTGCTGGATAGAGCAATCTTGGATGTACATCCTTGACTTTCATGACTTGGAACACTTCTTTCCATCCTCTTCTAGACTGCAAGGTTTCTTTTGAGAAATCAGCTGAAAGTCTAATGGGATCCTTTGTAAGTAACTATTTCCTTTTCTCTTGCTGCTTTTAAGATTCTCTTATCTTTAATCTTGGCTAAGGTAAATATGATGTGTCTTCTCAGGTTCTTTTTGGGGGACTCTGTGATCTTCCTGGACTTCTTGAAAGTCTATTTCCTTTGGCAGATTGGGGAAGTTCTTCATTCTTTGTTGAAATAAGTTTTCAATTCCTTGCTCCTCCTCTTTTTTCTTCTGGCACCCCTATGATTCAGATGTTGGAACATTTAAAGATGTCCTGGAGTTTCCTAAGCTTCTCCTCATTGTTTTGAATTCTTGTTTCTTCATTCTTTTCTGGTTGAATGTTTCTTTCTTCCTTCTGCTCCAAACCATTGATTTGAGTCCTGGTTTACTTCCTGTCACTGTTGGTTTCCTGCATCTTTTTCTTTATTTCACTTTTCATAGCCTTTATTTTGTCCTCTAATTTGTGACTATATTTAACCAATTCTGTGAAAATCCTGATCACTAGTGCTTTGAACTGTGCATGTGATAGGCTGACTATCTCCTCGTAGCTTAGTTGTGTTTTTTTCTGGAGCTGTAATTTATTCTTTACTTTGGGCCATTCCATTGGCCTTGGTGGGCCTGTAAGGTAGTAAGGGGAGGAGCCATAGGTGGTCAGCAGGGTGGGGAACCCACATCTCTGTGTTTGTGGTACTGTATGTGGGGGAGTATTCGAGAGGGTACAATGTTGCTTGCTCTGCTCTCTGCTGGTTTTTACTCACTTCCCCCACTACCCACAATCAAATTGGGCTCTTTTGTTGCTGATTCCTGGGTGGGTGGGTTTGTGTGCATTCTAGGACCCTGTGGGTCTCTCTGAGGATCTCTCCTGTGAGGCTTGGAGTTTCTCCTGCTGCCCCCTCAACCCGCACAGGTGTTTTCAGTCAGAGGCTTTGAGGCTTTACTTTCTGGTACTGGAACTCTGGGTTGCTTTGTCTGTCTCACTCCCCAGTTTTTCCTCCCACTGTATCTGCACACAAATGTGGGACCATCCTGTCCATAAGCTGCTGCCTTGCCATGAATCCTCTCCAGAAGGCTGCCTGTCTGCACCACTCCTACAGGTCTGGATGAATATTTCTTCTTTCACTCCTTGGTTGTTGGACTTCCATACAGTTTGATTTTCTGTCAGCTCTGGTTGTTTTTTGTTTTTAAATTTGTTGTTG